GCACCGGTATTATTCTGCCCTGGAACTTACATATTTGTTCACAATCCTTTTCAAGGTTGGGGCACTTTTAGGGACCCAGAAGGATGAATCTCTAATGGCTAATTTTAGCCCAATGGTAGGCAGTGGATGGAGAGACTGGGGCAAAAATACTGCTCATTACTCTTCAGATCACAAAATTACACCATGTAGGTGACTTCCTTCTCCTAAGGCCATGTCTGCCCCATAGTTGAACTGACCTCCTGGCCCTCATCCCTTGAAAGATGTCTGCACGTTCACACCTGTTTCTGGAAGTGAGGTTTGTGTTTAAGATAGAACTTCAGTTCCAGACTCAGGTGACTCAGGAAGAGCCACCTTGCTGCTGCTGGCCCAGCCCTGAGTCTCATGGCCTGGGCTGAGACCAAGCCTTGATTTCAGCTTCTGGTTTTATTTCCCAGGGTCTGAACTCCTGTATTCATAACTCATCCAATATTCAAATCCAGGATCCCCTCTGTCCCATTTTCTCAGGGATTAGAATCCTGGGACCTGCTGCCTACCTTCCCATCTCCTATTTATATCCCCATATGCATCTGTACGGTCATATCTCCTGCACAGGGTACACTGTCCTCCAATAAGGCTGAGCCTTCCTGAAGTCCACTGCTTGTCCCAGGGACCACCTGAATGATATTTGCTACTCTCTTAGGATCCTGTGTCTTTCCTACATCTGCCAACCATTTGTTTATTGAATGTTTATGGTGTGCCAGGCTTAATGTTGATGACAGTTTATAAATGTTCTCATTTCATCCTTACACCAGCCCTAGAGAGGTTGGTTCTATTATTAGACCTGTCTGAAAGATGAGGAAATTGAAGTATGGAGAGCTTAAGTAAATTATCTATCTCCTACAGATACAAAGTGGCAGGGCTAGGGTTATGATCCACAACCGTTACACTCCAGAACCTGAGCTCTTCATACTGGGCTCTCCTGCCTGTATGGTGGCCGTCCTTCACCACCTGAAGCTGAGGCTGTCCGAAGTACTTGTTCTACCCCAAAAGGCACATGCTTGTCTTTTTTGTCTTGCTGTGTCCAGTGAGGTTAGTTCTGCTGTGCCTAATTGGACTGTGGGACACATAAGGTGCAGGTGGCCCATAGTCAGATGAGTCTCAATGCACAACCCCAGGGTTCTTGGCTAGCTACCTCTATGAACACTTGTTTGGCACATAATAGGCACTCAAGAAATATTTAAATGGATGAACGCCTGAGCTGAGTGGTAGCATGGAAGTCCCTTACTTCACTGCCTTGCTTTACAAGGGGTCTATATACTGGAATTCTGCTGTCATGCCGACCTCAGTACTGCACTGCAGGCAAAATCTCCCAATACTGAGGTTTAGTATCTCCCTGGGTCTAAAATGACACCCATCTTTAAGTTGGATTCTCCTTTATAAACAACCAGGTTATTTAGCTTATTTCATAGAAATTCTTCCTGTATCCTGAAATTTGGGCACATGGGGAAGAGATGTGTAGACCCCATTCTAGAACATGCCAGAGAGTACCGTTTTGATAGAAAATGTGGTATAATAGGTGGGCTAAAGGTTGAGAGTTCAACTAGAGTGTTTGTAAATAGCAAAGATATTTCCACCTAACAGAGGCAGGAATCATCATATGAGAGTCACATGAAATAAACATCTTCCATTATGTTGAGGTCTGGCTAAAGGGCAAGAGAAGCATCTAATGAATTTTATTGTGTGAGTGTTTTCAGCTTTTTGTGTATGTGTCTGTGTGTGTGTTCATGTGTTGACGTGTATCTGTGCATTTATATGTGTATGTGTGTCATGCATATGTAATATGTGGGTGAGTGTGTATGTATATATGTATGTATGGTATGTTTGTGTAGATACAACTTTGTGTTTGTATATGTGCATGTATGTATGTGTTTGCATGTGTGTTCACGTGTATGTTTGTGGTTTTGTGTGTGTGTGTGTGTGTGTGTGTATGGGAAGGGAGAACCAGACTGAATAACATGCAAAGGAGAGCAAACACTGAGGTTAGGTTCATTCTTTTAGAGTTCGGGTAGATTGGGGTGAAACCTCAGTTTGTAAGGGAAGTGCAGGCATATTATAATGAGTTTATGATGACTAGGGCTTATTATCCAATGAAAATGATCTAGTGTGAGTTCCAAGTGTAGACAGGTAAAGCTGAAATTTAGGTGCTGTGGGCATATGCTTAAAACATGACTTATATTTATAACTAAAGTGACTTATTCAATCATAGTTATGTAATATGAGGATTTAAGAGAGAGTTGCCACGTGGGAAAAGACTTGAATTTGAAATCAGGAGGTTCAAACCATTTTCTTGCCTTTTAGTAGCTGTGTGGTTTTGGGTGAATCAGTCTATCTTCTCAACCATAGGATAGGGGTTAAAAATACCCATCCTAGGGCTTCCCTGGTGGCGCAGTGGTTGAGAGTCCGCCTGCTGATGCAGAGGACGTGGGTTCGTGTCCCGGTCCGGGAGGATCCCACATGCCGCGGAGCGGTTGGGCCCGTTGCCTGTGCTCCACAACGGGAGAGGCCACGACGGTGGGAGGCCCACGTACCGCAAAAAGAAAAGAAAAGAAAAGAAAAAGTTAAAAAAAAAAAAGAAAGAAAAAGTTAAAACAAAAAAAAACCCATCCTAGCCTCTTCCACAGTCCTAGAGCACAAAATTTGGTGGTATGACACTCAAGTAAAGAAACTGAAACAGCATGTGTGAAAAAACTTCAGCAGCTGCAAAGCTCCGTACAAAGCTAAATTATTCTATGTCTGAGCTGGGGCTCACTGCTGTTTTTAAGAGATAATAATAGTGAACTGGAGCAATGAGACCATATTTCTGTATGAAGTGAACTGGGAGGGTTCCTCTATGCCACCAAACAGCAGAGGGAGATGAGCAGATTAGCAGTTG